AGGGATGCGAGGTCAATGGTCTAACGACTACGGCATGCACCACTATGAGTACACCCACCCACCCTCGTGGGCGGCTGAGTCCCCTCGTGATTCGCCCAAGCTTTGCAGGAATGGGTGTCTTCGGCTATACATAGCTACCGACGGATGCCCGCTGCAGTGCTGCGTGCCAGCAGCAGTGCCGGTGAAAAAGCGTGACGTGACAAGGTCATCCAAGCCTGTTTCTTCGCCTGAATAACGAGGAAACGCCCCACTAGTACTTCGTGACTTCGTGTGTTTGAAATCGCCTGGTATACGGCAACACTCCTGCGAAACGCCCCTCCAATCCCCTCCCCTCCCCCCCTCCTCCCGCCCCCACAATGTGTTGTTGTCTTCACAATAATACCGTTGGGGTCTCTGCTCAAAACATTGGTACCGGTCCAACTGACGCGGGCGTCTCCCGTGGTTGTCCACTTGTTACCAGGTGGACCACCTGTCGGACATCCTCAGCGACTGGACCCCCGTGGATGTTCACATCGACGACCCCCCGAAGAAAGGCATCATCTTGTCCGCCATGGTCCCGTTGGAAAGGCATAACCTGGCGAGAAAAGACATCAAGTACCAGGTGTGGCGAGACTGGCCCTTGTTTTTTTGTCGCCGACAAGCGACCAGTGAAAGAAATACCGCAGGGTTGCGCAAGATACCACACCCCCTGTACCGCTGGATTACTCGGCACGAAAGAGCAGTAAGGGTGCCGAGAATGGTAGCGTTGGAACCGTCTCGTCGAGCTTTCCGAAAACACATACTAGTTTTTTTTTTCTGGGGGGGGGGTGGGTGGGCTATTCCTCGGGGAACAATCGCGTTTGGAAAATCGGTCCAGAGGGCGTGTTATCTTACGCAATCTACGGTACACGGACGGTGATGTTGCGCGGTCTGACAATGGTTCTACTACGCTCTGTGCAAGACGTGATCATCGCTTTGCTGTCCAAACCCCAGACAGGTGCTGATTGAGTTTTGCGTTGGCGAAGCCCACCCGTAGACTACGTCGAGCGTGCCTTTCGATCCCGAACAAAGGCGAACGATGATCAATTTCTTCTTTCGCGAACCCGTGTTTCTGGCAAGCATCTCACATTAAGTTTGCCCAAACAAGTTGCCGCGGTTCTAATCAACCTGGCGTTTCGCTCGCATTTTCTCCGTAGTTTTTTTTTCTTTTTTTCCTTGTCCTTCGTCTCCCCCCGTTTTTGTTGTTGTAGAAAAACATCCTCCGGGGAGACGTTAGGCGTTGTGGCCATGAAAATTCGCCGTTGCCTGAGCAAGTGCGGGAAGGAAAATAAAACAGCTATCAGACAAGTACACGAACCCGCAAAGAAGTCACTTTTTTTTTTCGTTCCAAAATCTAGTGAGCAGCTTCTGTCACCAAATACTTGAACTGAATGATCCCCGGTCTGGTGTCGTAAATACAAATGCAAGAACTGGTTCTTAGCGACAGACCGTATTGTTGTGGTTTTTGTTGTTGTGAAAACGACGACGACAACAACCGCGCGTCCGAATGCGTGTGATGCCACGCACGTACCTCGTACATGCATGCCGCGCCCGCACATCCCTCAGGTCCAGCTCTACTCACCAGACGAAATTATCGAGGTCTGCGGCGACAATGTATCGGACCGTCACCAGTCCGTCTACTGGAGAATGCTCAGGCCTGAGTTCGTCAAGGGCGACTCGGAGACAATGGCGGTCGTGGTGAGAAACCGCCGGGACCCCAGAAAACCGAGCGGAACTTTACAGGCGATGTGTACACAACCGTATCGCACCTTTGACCCCTAGGACTAGAATGATAGTTAGGTGTGTGGTGGGTATTGTTCATTTTATCAGCTGTGGGGACGCAATGTTGTCGGTTTCGTCGGTCTACGGCTGCAAACTGTCATCAAGGGGTGATAAAAGGATGGCGATGAAAGCAGGCAGCAGGACCAGCCCACAGCTACCGGTTGTGATGACGTTTCCCAAGCTCGAACAGCTCACAGAGCTGACGTGTTTCTGACACGAAGAGCCCAGCGAACCTGAACGAACCTCAAAGAGACTGTCAAGACTGGGCTGCCCACGCCGTTTTGACCGTCCCCATGATACAGCCCTCCTGTTT